TCCAAGGACAGTGCCATGACCTTTTTATCCCGAACAGATCTACTCTCCATCGAAGACATTTTGCCCTTTTTTCCCGACTTTGTCGTCATCGACGACTTTAAAGACGAGATTTGCGCATCCTTGGAAAGCTACGCTTCGCGCATTCAGCTGCTAAAGGAGGAGATGGAAGAGGCGAGCAGGAGCGCCGAGGCGATTCGAGCGGATACTAGAGCGCTGGACAAGCGCTTCGTCACGGTGGAGAGCGACGAACAGTGCGCGCTTTGCGAAAAGGAAGTGTGGGGTAGGCAATTCTACGTCTTTCCGTGCAAGCACGCCTTTCATGCCGATTGTCTCATTGCAGAGGTGAGCGAGCGGCGAGCGGCTGCGTGTAGAGATGGTCGCTAGTCGCTATGATCGCCCAACGTGCTGACGCTCCACGCCACGCCACGCCACGCCACGCCACGCCACGCCACGCCACGCAGACGACGAGACACTTGCACCCAAAGACGTTGCGTCGAGTGTTTGATCTGCAAGAACAGCTCTCGGCGCTCACAGCTGGTCTAATACCTGCGCTACCACCATCCTACGCTTCAGCACTGGCGTCCATGAGCCGCGCAGCCGTGACGCTGCCTTTGGGCGGTCTACATAGCCTGCGAGAGTACGTCTTGCCGGATCAAGTCATCTCTGCCATCAGCGCTGGCGTGTCGGTGGGCGTATCGTCCAGCCGAAAAGTGTTGGACCCGTTGGCTCGCAACGAAGCGTGGCGCAACTCTTCTGCTGCTGCTGCTGCTGCACAGCCAGAGCCGGAAAGCGCGAGCGCGACGGCGACGGCGACGGAGGAAGAAGAGGAGAGGATAGAAAAGCTGAGGGACGAGTTGGATGGCATCTTGGCTAGCGCTTGCGCGGTGTGTGATGGAGGCGTGAGCGCCATCAGCAGACCGTTTGTGAATGTTGCAGCCAGCAATGTGGACGCCAAGGAGGCCGACGATTGGGCGCTTTAGCGGAGGCGAATGGCGGGCGCGCTGTAACTCCCGCGTGGACCTGGACCTGCGCGCGCGCGCGCGCGCTGTCTCTCCTCTCTCCTGGCAAAGTGATACCCGCTCTGCCGTCTCGCGAGTGAATAATCGTCTGAACTGGCTTGCGACTGGACATTGTCTGAATCGTTTCGTATCTCTTCGTATATCAGCACGCGCAATGCAGGATCCGAGTCGACGTGAGGGTGCCGCCCAGAGAGGCTGCCAACATGCGCGCGTGACACGCCCGCCGTGTTCTGCGAGTTGCACGTGACGTGCGCGCGGTTTTGCCGAAGAGATGGCCCGCCCGCGCGCGCGCGATCGCGCACGGTCGCGCACGGTCGCGCGCGGTCGCGCTGCTGGTAAAAGCGCGGTCGTGACGCGCGCATCTGTGAAGCGTTTTTGGTCACGCACCACCATACAAGCGACGCGACGCACCATACTTCGCTCTACAGCTGCAGCAGGCAAGTCAAAGTTGGCAAGTCACAAAGGCAATCATTGCGAGTCACTTGCAGAGGGCGACCGGTACATGCACAAAGGAGGTGCGGTGCGGTGCGGTGCGGGCGCCATGGCGATGACGATGTCCTCGACGATGTGCTCGGCGAGGGCAGCTGCCGAGTCAGGATGTTTGGGTGGAGCGCGGTGCAATGGATGCGTCGCGTGGCCGTGGGGAAGAAGACAGCAGCAGCAGCAGCAGCAGCAGCAAGTAAAGTCATCAGAGTGTCGCAGCGAGCAGCGCGAGAAGCGGTTGCAAGGTCGACGATGGCTGCACAGTCGCAGTCGCAGTCATGGGCACGAGCGCGGGCAGGAGGAGGAGGAGGAGGACGAATGCAGGTCCAGCTCCTCTACCAGCTCTACTCGCGCTTCCATCTCCTCCTCTTCCTCCGCCTCCCCTGCAGCGCACAAGCTCATTGAGGCCCAACAGACCACAACAACAACCGCAACCGCAGCCGATTCTCCACGATCTCAGCGACTTCGAGCGCCTGCAGTGCACGCATCCTCGCTCACTTCGCGCTGGTGCACCGCAAAGTCGGCTTCCAGCGCAATCGGTCCCATCCTCTCTCACCCCGCCGCCAACGCTGCTGCTGCAACGAGCGCGAGCGCACACGGCAACGAGGATCTGTCTTCATCGCTGGGCAGACACTTTTACCTCAACAAGGCGTTGGAGAGCTACGCTGGTAGACCCAGCACGCGCATCACCCTCAGACAACTCGTCTTTTTTGGAAGGAGGGTGCTGCATGAGAGCAGAGATGCGCCTGCTGCTGCAGTCACAGTGGGCGCGCGCGCGCACGAGTCACAGTCGATGGAGGAGAGCAAAATCATTCGAGTGAGTTTGTGCGTGCGTGCGTGCGTGCGTGCGTGCGTGCGTGCGTGTTGCGTTGCGTTGCGTTGCGTTGCGTTGCAGGCGGGTGCACCAACAGCTTGCTGACATGACCGGGCGCGCGCCCGAGCAGTCGGCCAACTACGTGCGACAGGAGCTGCCCATCCGCTTGGCTCACCGCATACGCGACCTGCAGGCCTTGCCGTTCGTGGTGATGACCAACAAGCATCTGGGCCAAGTCTACAATGTGCGTGCGCGTCCGCGTGCGTGTGCGCATTGTCGTTGCCACCCTCGCCCCTCACTCGTATCCCACACTTACACACCCATCGCAGAAATATTGGCACGCTTTCGAGACGTTGAGGCGATTCCCTGCTATTCGCACCATGCAGGACAATGAGGCATTTTGCTCGACGCTCAAAGCGGCCCTGACAGATCAGTGAGCCGCGCGCGCGCGGGGCATCGCATCGCATCGCATCGCATCGCTCAAGTTCAGCTCTCATCCCCTTTCATCCCTTTTGCAGCCTCACCATCATCCCTTCCCTCACGCTGGGCATCGTCGAAGAGTCGGACCATCTATCCGCACAGAGACTGGATAGGTTCATGGAGCGCATGCTCAGAAGTCGCATCGGTGCGTACGTGCGCGTGCGTGCATAGCCGGCGCTCTGCTGACTGACCATCTGGCGTGCGCATGCCGTCATCAGCTCGACGCGTGCTTGCCGAGCAGCACATTGCTCTATCGGAAGCGTGAGTGCGCAGGTGCGATTTGCAGGCGCTCGCTGATGCATTGCCGCTCACTTTGTCTCCCCCGCGCACGAACGACAGCCTCGACGACCCATTTCACTTTTTCGACTCTCCCTCGCAAGCATCTTTGCCGGCAGCGGCAGACGGCGAGCATGTCGGCATCATCTACACGTCGTTGTGCGTCTCGGACGTGGTGCGCAAGGGCATCAAGCTGCTCAGGGACATGTTTGCCAGAGAGACTGGAAGGAGTGCGAGCGACGAGTGGATCCCCATCGTGGCGCTGGACGGTGACTTGGAGGCCAGGTGAGTGTAGCGGTGGGCATGACGGAACATCTGAGCGAGCGAGTGTAGCGGTGGGCATGACGGAACATCTGAGCCGCTCGCTCACGTGCTTGTGCGGCAGGTTCGCCTACATACCCGAACATCTCGAAGTGAGTTTGGGAGCGCCTGCACAAACAGCACAGCACAGCACAGCTCAGCTCGCCCAAAGTCCCCCCCCCCCCCC